TCTCTCTCAAAGAGTTCCAGTGTTCTTCCACGCCCGATCCTTCAGGGATATTGCTTGATGTCCCCCATTTTTTCCTGATGACTGACTGACGTGTGGAGGTCCTTTATAGTTTCGTACTTCAGCCCAGTTTCTGTTCTGGGTGTTGAACTTCAACTGTGGTCTATCACCAACTTCTGTGAAGACTTTCAACTAGATTTTGAAGGTTCCTTGCACTTGATAGTGAGTGGTATGAACCATCTACATCTGTTCCTCTTCATGATGTTGTGTCCAGTAGACTGTGTCTCCAATTTCTTGAGATTGAGGTGAAGTCGATCTGATTTTTAGTGTGTTCATCTGGTGAAATCGAATCCATGTCGCCTTATGAATATCCTTGTGTTTGTATATACTGCCTCCAATCATCAAATTGTTGAATGCGCAGAAATCTGCAAATAGTTCTCCATTCTCATTGATTTTACCAAGTGCCTCTCGACTCATGATGAGTTCTCTTCCTGTGTTGTCCGCTCCCAGTTTGTCATTCATGTCACCCCACCCATTAGAATTTCGATGTTGCCATCTGGGATGGGGTCTTGTCCATTACTGATTGTAGTTGTCTGTAGAATTCCTCCTTCTTCTCTTGATCTGCATCATTTGTAGGTGGATAGCGTAGCATTGTATGATTGTGACCTTCCTTCCTTTTGAGTTGAATGTTGCTGTCATGATCCAGCAGGAGGAGACTGGTTCCCACTGCATGAGAGCCTTCGATGTTCTTGGGGACATCATGATAGCCACTCCAAAGTCAGTGTGCTCGTGGTTGTCGTCTGGGTGATTATATCGGAGTGGATTGCTGACTCTGCAGTTGATAGACTGGACAGTCCACTTGCATTCCATTTGCTTACATAGATTCCAGGCACTTCTATGGTATACCTGCTCATCTCTTTTGCAATCTGGGTAGCCTTGCTAGCTTCAGACATTGTGCGGACATTCCATTTCCCCATTCTTGCTTTCACTTTCATCGAGAGAAGAGAAGACACATCGGCCAATTGGCTTCCTGAATACTTTCACCAACCGGTGTCATTTCATCTCCCCTATTCCAGAGAGGAATAAGTTTGTTTTTATTTTTTATATTTACTGTGTGCTTTGAAGTTTCTTTAGCTGTTGGATTGGTTTTACGGTCTAGGGCTGCTAGCCCCTTGCCCATTCTTCCCTCTTAGTACCGGCCAGTAAACTGGTGAACTAGTTAACTAGGCGAGGCTCTCTAGGTAGTTAACTGGTAAACTATGTGAATTGTGGGTACCAGTAATGTAAGGATTTTTGAACTGCAAAGAAATACAGGTTTTATTCACAGATAGGAAGAAGAACATTCTGTTATCAATGAAGAAAAGTCTTTTTGCAACGACTTTATTATGAACTTGTATATTCGTGTTTATAATCCATAAACGGTTTGAGAAATGTGCTCAAAACGTTGCGTAGTCAATATATGAATAATAGAATTGGTTGTGGAAAGGGGTGGGATGGGTTTGATTTAAGTGGACGAAACAGAAAAGAAGTCATTGAATAAAGAAGAGTAGAGTTCAAGAGGTGTGATTAAGGGTCAAGTGCTGTCAAAGAAGTGTAAAATGATGACACTTAAACTGAAGTATGCAAAGTGATATTAAATAAAATAAACTAATTGACCGAAATAAAATGTTGTTAAAACCAAAGTAGATAAAGGAGTGTCACAGAACTCTTTTGATTATGTATAGCTTGTACTTCAGCTACGAATAAATTACAGATACGTAAACCTTCGGAGAAGTTCGGTTTAACTTTGTAAATTATGCTAAAAAGTGAATCTCCATGAGCTGAATTAACTAACTTTATTAGGTGTTCAGCTGTGGAGGAATTTTTTGTTTTTCGCTCACGTTTGGTTAGCCAGACCGGATGGTGTTCTGCAATGCCTTTCTGTAGGGCCCGATTACAAAGTTCAATATCGTCAGCTCCAGAGGAGCATGTAAATCTGTAGATACACATAAATGTGAACATAAGCTCCAAGGTATCCTTCAAGTATTGTTGAATCAAACGACTGCTCGAGAGAATCAATCACAAAGGTTAGCACAATGGGAGGTATACCTGATACACTTCGACGGACAGTTCTTCAACACTTAAGCTATGGCATCTCCTTTTAGAACTGCAATATGATGAGGGATAATTCGTTCCTGTAAGTTTTTATCAATGTCTTCTAGGCTATCCATTATTCAATAGTTTTTGTGCTAAGAATCTCAATTTGAATATCCACCGTATCTTCTGAGCAGATTTTATGAACTCTAGAAAAAGGCGAGTGAATAAGATTTCGTTTACTACCAAAAAGTAGCTAACTATTAAATTTAGTGAAGTGTCACTATTAACTTGACGTGTACTCCAGTTGACTGCTTTTGTAAGTTCATGTCTTTTTCTTTGATTAAGAAGTTCTATTGTCTTTTAAAACTATAGTCCTTCTGAAAATGACAAACTACTTTCACTTTATCTATTGATACTTGTAATTTACCGTTTTTTATACTGGATCCAATTAACTGACTTCTGTTGGCATGCATGAGTTGCTGTGTGGATGCCTTGATATTGCCTGATTATTTATTGTGTTGTGACTAGTAGTGAGTTCCAAGACATGCGTTTCATGTTATTTGCAACTCATCAGCTGGATGTGCCTGTATCCAAGTGAGTAGTGGTGTTCCCACTGAGATCCGACCCCCGAACCAATTGCTTCAAACATCAGAGGGTTATCTATTAGGTTATTAAGGCATGACAGCCACCTCTTGTACAATCTGATCCAGTATAACAACGCGAAATAACAATTTTTGTTCAATAATAACTGATACCTGTTGTGCGGGAAGTGGCTATTGTACCTTAGTGGCCTAGTGGGTAATGTTTCGGCATTTGAAGCGACAGGTGCGAGACTCGGATCTCAATGGGGACACCGTCACCAACTGGCGTCCACGTGCATCCAGATGACGAGTCTATATAGGACGAAATGTGCGTCCTGAATTGTACTCTTAGCCACAACCAAGTAAACTAGTTTCCCTTTAGCCTTAAAAAATAACCATCACGTTCATGCCAACGTCAACTCAGATTAGATTAGTAACAGTATAGTAGAAATGTGTATTATTTGTCTCATTCAAACTAAACAACTCCACTGTCTAGCCAAATCATGTTTTATGGCACACAGTACATTTGTTTGGAGAAGAAGAGTGTGACTCATTCACCAAAATACTTTACTATTTTGAAAATAATACCTTTAGAAGACGGCTACAAATATTGTGTCTCTGTAATTTCAATATTCTAACAGATATTCTAAGCTTGATTTCACATTCAACCGCACACTGAACATTAATTCATGCGTGAACATGTTGGCTGATATTATAATCATCATCATATTTATCAGGAGAAGAAGGAGTACAAGAAAAAGATGATGGTGGTTAATGTGTACATATATACAATGGATCCATTTTATAATAATAATCAAAATGTCTTTGTGCATAGTGGGGAATATATAGAAACTTCTATTTTCCATCAAGTATTTCATTGTATACTATCTACCTGTAAACTGCATAAGAACTGTATGATTAAGTTCTTTTGATCAACGTCAAGGCATAAAGTAGACTGTTGTTAAAGTGCTTAAATAAATGCATATTCATCTATAACGATTAGATTAAGAAAAATATGCCTTTTACCTGGCAGAATTTCGGTTAACATTTGTTGGGGACCAAATATCGTTCCAATGCAATTCTTGATGTTACCCGTCGCTGCTTTATGAATCAGTTTGTCATGACTTATAGGCTGGGTGATGGGAAGGTTGGATAATGTTCTGGTGTTTAAAGCGATTAGTGCTGAGTTCGACTCTCAGGGGGAATAACACTACCCATTGGGAGACAGGTACATCCAGCTGACCAGTCTCATATAGGAAGAAACATGTATCAAGCTAGATTTCACTGCTAGTCACTATCCGTTGATCATATCAGGCTGGATGGTGACTTTTTCACTTGAGCAATGGCCTATGTTTAGGCAGTCAGGTAAGTAATAGTAATTTCTGTTGTATGGAAATATGAATGACTTGTCGATCAACCTATACTAATAGGTAATGGGAAATTTGTAACTTCTAGAGAATCCTCATTGCCTTCTCTTGATTTTTCTTACAATAAAGGTAATGATAAATGGGAAATATTTGAAATGTTTGTGAATTTTGTATAACTTGCTCATAGTTTACTCACCCAAGTCCCTCAGTACAGTTACCAAAGACAGAAGTCTATTTACACTGAATAACTTAACGAGTCTATCATCTCACCTTCATAAACCTAGATGTTTCATTTTATGTGGGTATTTACAACCTGTACAAAATACTACAAGAAACTGCCTGATTCTATCATGAGATGATATAGAACTATTAACACAGGTGTATGAAGAGAATGTTGAATGTAACTAGGCAGAAAGTTGATGATGCCTAGGAAAGATATGGGCATTGACAGAATTACGAGAGGACTTGATACTTCTTCACTGCTCATACTGTGCAAAGTTACTTCTTCTTGGGGTATCTGAAAAAGTGAGTGGACTGGCAATGGTGGTTTCAATGACCTGGTTGCGTAACCCTCAGAAAGTTGTAGATACCTGACTAAGTGTGATCAAACGTGGCCTTCTCGAGTTTTTTACATCTATCCTTGAACAAGAACGCTAACCATTGGTGACGGGAGTTTGTAGGACAGGATCGACATTTTCTAGCTTCCACCTCTGGGACGCGAAGGCAGCACAGCATGGACTGCCAGTCATCTACAGGAAACATCTTTCTACAATTAAAAACCATAATGCCAACAGTATGCCTCGTTATTGGATTCATATCATAGAGTAAGCTATTTGCATAATGATGGTAGTTTATTTCGGTCCTAACACTGGCATAAACAACTAATCACTCACAAGACTAACCAAATAAATAATCAACAAAAATTCAAAATACATCTTATTTTCATGACATTTACGATTTCATTTTTAAAATACTTCAGGTTAATCAAGAGTTATTCGATGTTGAAAAGAATATGGAATACTTGAAAAAGTGTATAGCTGATAAACAAGCACCTTTGAAAGTGGCTAGAACACGATTAGATTTACGTAATCGACGTCCAAATATTGAATTATGTCATGATGATCCGCATGGAAGGTAAAATATTATTCATCAATTCAGTTTTCATTTTTTAATTTGAATAAATCAGTTTTAAGGTGTTTTGCTTATCATATCGCGAATCTTTGGAGATAAGGAATGATTCAACTTCAAAATAGACTTCATTTTTTGTTAGTATTCGTCACTAAGATGTGTTTAAACTTCAAATCTTGTAGTTTAATAACTTGATCAATACAAATGGACTTGACGATCAGCCATTAGATGTTCAGTTTGATTATTTGATTGAGATAGCTACTGTTTGGCAGACTTGTGTTATTTATACTGGGTGATGATTGAAGATGAAATGAAGATTTAGCCCGCAGTGGGATTTAACCCAATGACCACCGGGTTTTCCACAGGGTCTCGTAGTTCAGTTGGCAGAGAACTCGGCCAGAAAACCAGTGGTTGGTGGTTCGAGTCCTAGTGTGGCCTGCATTTTTATTTCACCTTCAATTATCACCCAGTATCATTGAATTATTACTTTGAAGTGACAGTTCTTTCATGTTTTGATTGTTATCGTTAAGGTTCACTTTTGACTGAACCAGTAAGTATATACCTATGTTTCACATGCTTGAAATGTTGAAATGCTGAAATTGAAATAAAGCCAAAATATGTGGTAGGTATGAATCAACGGTCTCTTACAGAAAAAAAGAGACAAAATAAACATAGAGCCTCACACAAAACTGCATCGGTTAATAGTGTGGCATACGAAAAACAAGTGGATAGGAAAAAATAGATATCAAAGTAGACAAAGGTGTATGAGAGGAAAGGGAAGTTAAAAATTAAGTTTTTTCAAAATATTCAAGCTTTAGAAGGTATCAAAGAGTGAATACATCTTTAATATAAGTGTAAAACTTTGGCACTGTGGTAGAATGTAATTCCATATTAGATTTGTTTATTTGATATATAGCGCACAGTGATACAGTATTATTTACTTGATTACGTTTCGAGCATATAAAATCAGATATCGAAAGAAGCGTGATTACATTGATATGATTATGAGCAATAATTTATGCTCGAAACATAATTAAGTAAATAATACTGTATCTCTGTGCGCTATATATCAATTAAACAAATCTAATATGGTGAATATATCTGCCTCATTGTGACTGACTTTCAGCCACTTCACCAAAAGTCATGGACCGCTGATTCCTATCATCTCAGGGACCCCAGTTAAGTAATCTAGATAACATCTGGATAGTCAACTGCTCTACGCAACCAAAGCTAATCAATAAAATCGCGCGTGTACAAACGTTTCTGCGGCTAAACTAAGCAAATAATGAAGTTTTGGATTACCAGTTCGTTGTTCTTCAATAACTACTACGAGAAAACTAGACTAAAACTCATAGATAACTAGTTCACACTGGATCTCTAACAGCTTCTCATCAACTTTTGTCATCAATATAATAAAATAGTTAACATTCAGCTGTTCTTTCGTAACCGATTGTCTGGATCCTTAGATTTATCATAAGCTTCTTTAACTGCTGATGTGCACTGTTTGTGTTAGAATGAAAAATCTAAGCGATATCTTCACACAAGAGTTCATGACTTATAAAGCATTTGAGCAAATCAAGACCTGGTACCAGCCGATGAAATCCCTGACTCATGGTCTCCCTATATGAGGAGATCAAGACTACCTAGCTAGGGTCGACTAGATGAAAGGAGTCACTTGATAAGGAGTTTGGTGAAATGGTTGAAAATCGCTGAAAGTGGCGTACATGTGATCAATCGTTGACGTCTACCGAAAATTCGGTATTCACACTAAAAATTCTCCTGAAAAAATTTATTACATCGAAAAAAGTCATCTACTTGATATGAAGCATTTCCATCCACGTGTTCCTTCTCTATTGTTATCAAGTGCGGAAAACTCATTTGATAACATTCTGTCAGCAATCCACTCCGATATAATCACCCAGACGACAACCACGAGCACACTGACTTTGGAGTGGCTATCATGATGTCCCCAAGAACATCGAAGGCTCTCATGCAGTGGGAACCAGTCTCCTCCTGCTGGATCATGACAGCAACATTCAACTCAAAAGGAAGGAAGGTCACAATCATACAATGCTACGCTATCCACCTACCAATGATGCAGATCAAGAGAAGAAGGAGGAATTCTACAGACAACTACAATCAGTAATGGACAAGACCCCATCCCAGATGGCAACATCGAAATTCTAATGGGTGGGGTGACATGAATGACAAACTGGGAGCGGACAACACAGGAAGAGAACTCATCATGAGTCGAGAGGCACTTGGTAAAATCAATGAGAATGGAGAACTATTTGCAGATTTCTGCGCATTCAACAATTTGATGATTGGAGGCAGTATATACAAACACAAGGATATTCATAAGGCGACATGGATTCGATTTCACCAGATGAACACACTAAAAATCAGATCGACTTCACCTCAATCTCAAGAAATTGGAGACACAGTCTACTGGACACAACATCATGAAGAGGAACAGATGTAGATGGTTCATACCACTCACTATCAAGTGCAAGGAACCTTCAAAATCTAGTTGAAAGTCTTCACAGAAGTTGGTGATAGACCACAGTTGAAGTTCAACACCCAGAACAGAAACTGGGCTGAAGTACGAAACTATAAAGGACCTCCACACGTCAGTCAGTCATCAGGAAAAAATGGGGGACATCAAGCAATATCCCTGAAGGATCGGGCGTGGAAGAACACTGGAACTCTTTGAGAGAGATGTGGAAGGGAACCTGCATAACCGTGTCAGGAAGGAAAAAACGGAACAAGAAACGTATCTCGACGGACACATGGAAGCTGATAGAGGAGCGACAGGAAGACGGTTAAGCAGAAGATGAACCAGTGTAGTGCAGTACAGTGCAGTGCAGAGATGAATAACGAAAAGAGGAACTGAGTACAATGCATAAAACACTGTACAAAGAAGTTAAAAAGAGTGCGTTGAAAGACAAAAGACACTTCTACGACACACTTGCAAGTGAAGCAGAACAGGGTGCAAGTAGGAGAGATAGAGACCTGACAACATCATATCAAATAACCAGGCTATTATCAGGGAAGAGATCAACACATATGAAACTAATGAAACATAGTGAAGCAAACTTAGTTAGCACCAAAGAGGAGAAACAAAGGTAACGATGGGCTGACCACTTCAAAAAGTACTTGAATCGACCACCACCTGCAACTCGTCCACAAATACCACCAGCAACCACAGAGCTACCAGTGAACACAGGTCCTCCGACAAAAGCAGAAGTCCTGAACGCCATAAAGTTGCTGAATTTCGGGAAAGCAGCAGGACTAAATGGAATTCCTCCAGAAGCACTGAGAACGGATGCAGACACAACAACGGACATGCTCACACCACTATTGAAGAAGGTTTGAAGGGAGTAAGGAAAGGTACCTGCCGATTGATTGGAAGAAGGCCTACCTTGTGAAACTCCAAAACAAGGGTGACCCAAGTTTTTGCAAGAACTGGTGCAGAATCATGCTCTACCCCTGTCCACCCAAAGCAAAATACCAAGCCGAATCATCCTGGAGAGACTGAAGAATGCTCTCGATTCAAAATTACGACCGGAACAAGCTGGCTGGCTTCAGGAAAAGCAAATCACGTGCAGATCAAATTGCAACGCTACGCTGTGCATCATCATAGAACAGAGTATAGAATGCCAGTCAACTCTCTACCTCAACTTCATCAACTCCGAAAAGGCCTTCGACAGCATCGACCGAGAAGTAATTTGACAGGCACTTGCTTCAACACTATGGAGTGCCACAAATCTTTATCAACCTCATTCAACAGCTATATGCAATGTAATCCCACATGCCATGTGATCCACAATCGAAAGCTCAGTGACGCCTTCGAAGTGAAGGCAGGGGACAGGAGTAAGACAAGGTTGCCTCCTACTATCACCAACGATCTTCCTGATTGTGGTTGACTGGGCTGCTGGACTGGACTGGACCATGCAACAGACAACTATGAGGCGCTGTGAGAAGATGAGCATACGCTGCCTGACCGATTAAAAGACCCCAGTAGAAGATTTGGATTTCGCCAACGATGATGATTTGTGTCCAATGTCTTGTAGCATAAACTCGAAGATCTACAGGCGAAAACCAACAAGTTGACAGAAGAGGCGAGACAGCGAAGACGGGGCTTCCTTCAGGTGAACGTGGATAAGACAGAGGTGATGAAGATACCAAACGAATAACAACAACAACAACAACAACAACAACAAACGCAAGCACCAATCACCACCAACGGCAGAAATCTAAAGGAAGTTGCCTCTTTCACCTACCTAGGCAGGCAGCATCGTTTCAACTACAGGCGGCACAGACGAGGATGTGAAAACCAGGATCGGAGAAGCAAGACAGGCTTTCATTAGTCTGAAATCAGTGTGGAGATCTTCCGCACTCAGGATAAACAACAAGATTCGGATTTTCAACAATAATGCCAATCAAGTCAATGCTTCTATGTGATGGTTCAGAGACTTGGCGTATCACGAAAAGCATTTCCAATAAATTGCAGACATTCATCAACAACTGCCTACGCTCGTTACTGAAGCTCAGATGGCCAGGAAGAACAAGCAACAAGGAACTCTGGCCTGGCAACGAACCAACCAAGAACCCATCACCCAACATATGTGCAGAAGAAAGTGGAGATGGATTGGACTGGAGATACACTTAGAAGACCGATTGGGGACATCACGCGCCGGGCCCTCGAGTGGAACCCAGATGGGAAACGACGAGATGGGCGTCCGAGGGTGAGATGAAGGAGATCATGTGTAGGAGAAATGAAAGCTTGTGGGCAGTTGTGGAGTGAGGTTGAAAAGACTAGAGAGAAGAGAGTGAAATGGAGGCGTGCTACTGAAGCGGTATTTTCCACTAGGAACCCAGTAGAGAAATACTAATTTTGATTTTCTGTCTTATGTCGTACCATAATGCGACTTATCGAATTGAGTTAATGTGGACCTTTGAATGCCAACCCAGATTGGCTGAATGGTAACGTGCTGTTGGTGGAA